TTTTTTTTTCTTTTTAATTTAGTTATAGAAGAGCTATAGATTTAGAAATAAGGTGTGAAGTAGATTGGTCATAACCTAGTTATAATTGCTATAGCATAGAATTGATATACCACTTGAGGCATGGGCATTACTTGTATGGTTTTGTCCTTAACTCTCAAAATTTAATTATTGGAAGAATATTTAATAGATACATTTATATTATGTAGTTTTAATGTTATATTTAACCTGTCCTAGAGAATTTAACATAGATTTTAAAATAATTTCTTTTTAAGACAATCTTGCTTTGTCACCCAGGCTGGAGTACAGTGGTACAATCTCAGCTCACTGCAACTTCTGCCTCCTGGGTTCAAGTGATTCTCCTGCCTCGGCCTCCTCATACCTGGGACTACAGGTGCATACCACCATGCCCGCCTAATTTTTGTATTTTTAGTAGAGACAGGGTTTCACTGTGTTGGGCAGGCTGGTCTCAAACTCCTGACCTCAAGTGATCTGCCCAGTTCGGCCTCCCAAAGTGCTGGGATTACAGGCATGAACCACCATGCCTGGCCAGATAATATTGTATTTTAATTAATATTTGTTAAATTATGAAGCATAATAAATTGAAGAATTGTTAACCTACTACTGAATTCAGGAACTGTAGCAATATCAATATCAGTGTTTCTTCTACCTGTGTTCTCTTTACATATGTCTCATTGCCTTCCAAGCCCTAGAAGGATTCACTGTCCTAGAATTTGTATTCATCATTTTTTCCTTTTTTGAAATAAGTTTTACCATGTATCTATATTTTGCTTATTTTTGATGTATATAAAAGTGATAAATTACTATGGTCTTCTGTAATTGAATTTATTTACCTAATACAATATTTCATAATAAGATTACATGTTACTTACGTGGTTTTCATTTCTCCATAATATCTACTCTAAACATTCCACAATTTCATAATTTCTTCAGTCATTTTCCTGCTGATGGACATTTGGGTTGCCGTCAGTTTGTTGTTGTTATGAACAGTGCTGCTGCTGTAGTCTTATAGCATGTTGATATAGTCATATTGATATGCCTTCTGGTATGCAAGTATTTTTTCTAGGACAGTAGTTTGCAAGTGGAGTTACTTTACTGGAGGGACATTTGGTTATATGTAGGAATGTTTTGATGGTTAAATGATTGAACAGTCAACATATCAGTTAATATAAGCTTAAGTTATGCCATGGTAACACCCCCTTTTCCCCCCAACCTCAGTGACTTATCATGACAGTAATTTCTCACATTGTGTGTCTATTGTGGGTCAGTGGGGTTGGGGGGTAGGAATTTCTTTCCTCACACAGTTGTTCAGGGACCTAGCCTGATGAAGGCTTGGCGCTCTCATACTTTGTTGCTTTAGCAAGGGAAGAGGCGACTTGGAGCATCATTCATGGGCCTTGTATGTTTGGATGCAGAAGTGACATGTGCCACTTCTCTCCATGGCTCATTGGCCAGAACTAGTCACAGCACTCTACCTTAATTGCAAGGGGTCTGAGAAATGTGAAGAAGTAGAATGATTGGTGAATAACATTATCATTGCTGCAGCGGACACTCTTGGCATTTAAAGGCAGGGGCAGAGAGATTAAAATATAATGCAAAGTATTAGAGAGTTCTGCATAGGACACAATGAAAAACTATTCAATCCACAATTCCTATAATGACTTTCCTGAGAAATACTACTGTTGGGTATACACTTTGGAATGCAGTTACTGGGGTCTGGGACATATACACATTTACTTTTTATAAGATGGTACCAAGTTGTTTTTCAAGGTCAATGTGTCATTTTGCATTCACATCAGTGTACAAGTGTTGTTTTCTCCACATCTTCACCAACACTTTACTGATGTACAATTGACAACAATAAACTGCACATTTTTATAACAGTTTGATAACTGTACACTCCAGTTAGTACAGTTTGATAGCTGTGTAACCCCATTAAACCATTACCACAACCAAGATAGTAACCATGTTCATCATTCCCAGAAGCTTCCTCAGGCCCCTTTGTTTTCCTTTCTTCCCACTCTGTTTCTCCTTTCCTCCCACCCTTTCCCACTCACTCCTCTCCATCCCCAAGAAACCTTCTGCTTGATATCTGTCAATTTCAATTTGTTTACATGGTGTTTTTAAAAAATTGCATTTTCTGTTTGGTTTATAGAAACGGTTGGTTTTTGAATATTTATCTTGAGTATTTATTTATCACCTAGATAAATTTTCTGGTTTATTCTAATATGATCCTATAGATTTTCTTGTTTACTGTATAGCTAATCATATAAAATTCAAATAATGACAAATCGTTTTCTTTGTCTTACTGTTGTTATGGGCAGGGCTCTATACATTGTTGACTAGAAACAGTAGATAGTTACTTGTCTTATCAATGATCTTTTTATTTATTTTATTTTTTTATTTTGAGACCGAGTCTCTCTCTCTCTTTCACTCAGACCGAAGTGCAGTGGTGCATTCTCGGCTCAACTGCAACCTCCACCTCCCAGGCTGAAGCAATTCTCTTGCCTCAACCTCCCGAGTAGCTGGGACTACAGGTGCATGCCATCATGCCCTGCTAATTTTTGTATTTTTAGTAGAGACAGGGTTTCACCATGTTGGCTAGGCTGGTCTCCAACTCCTGGCCTCAAATGATTCACCCCTCTTGGCCTCCCAAAGTATTGGGATTACAGGGGTGAGCCACCACGCTGGTTTTGTTCTATATATATATATATATATATATATATGTGTGTGTGTGTGTGTGTGTGTGTGTGTGTGTGTGTGTGTGTGTGTGTGTGTTTGTGTATTTAAATTAGTGGATTTTAGTGCAACATTTTGTTTAAGATAAACCTTTATGAATGTGGTTATCTGTAAGTGTCCTTTCTGTTACTGTTCTTATGTGGTACTTGGTTATACTATCCTCATAGAATAGGCTGGGGTATTTTCCTTCATATTTTGTTTGCTGGATGAATTTGCACGAGTTTGGATTGATCTATGTTTTGAAACCTTAGTAAAACTCACCTGTAAAGCCATATGGGCCTGATATTTTTTTGAGGCATCAAAATAAAAAACTTTCTATATTTTAATTGGTTATAGGAGCTGGGCATGGTGGCTCATGCGTGTATTCCCAGCACTTTGGGAGGCCAAGGCTGTAATCACGGCTACTCAGGAGGCTGAGGTAGGACAATCTCTTGAACCCAGAAGGCAGAGGTTGCAGTAAGCCAAGATTGTGCCACTGCACTCCAGTCTGAATTACCAGTGAGAATCCATCTCACACACACAAAAAAGGTTGTAGGACTATTCAATTTTTGTTGTTGTTGTGAAGACTGGGTTTCACTCTATCGTCCAGGCTGGAGTGCAGTGGTGTAGTTACTCCTCACTATAGCCTCGACCTCCCTAGGCTCAGGTGATTTTCCCACTTTAGCCTTTTCAGTATCTATAGGACTACAAAATGTGCACTGCCACACCCAGCTAATTTTTGTTTTTCTGTTTTTTGTTTTTTTGTAGAGATAAAGTTTTGCCATGTTGCCCAGGCTGGTCTCCAACTCCTGGGCTCAATTGATCTGCCTGTCTCAGTCTCCCAACGTGCTGGGATCACAAGTGTGAGCCACTGCACCTGGCTGATAGGACTATTTAGTCTTTCGTTTTTTGTTGTTTTTTTTTTCTTTATTTAGTACTGTTGGTAAAACACATTTTTTCTAATAAGTTTTCACAAAATTGTTTATAATCTCTTTTTAATCTTTGGTGAATCTGAATCTGTAGCTGTGTCTCCTTTTTCATTGTTAATATTGTTTATAAGTGTCTGTTGTTTTTCTTGCCAGAAGATTTATCAATTTTTCTTGCCATAGGAATTATCAATTTTACTAGTTTTCGCGAAGAATCAGTATTTTGCTTTGTTAATGTTTTCTCTTACATGTTTGGTTTTCGTTTCACCAATTGTTACTTTTTATCATAGCCTTCATTCTACTTTGGATTAATTCAGTTTTGGGTTTGATTTTTTTTTTTCCCTCCAAGTTCTTCTTCTTTTTTTTTTTTTTTTGAGACAGTGTCTTGCTCTGTCACCCAGGCTTTATCTCAGGTCACTGCAACCTCTGCCTCCTGGATTCAAGCCATCCTCTTGCCTCAGCCTCCTGAGTAGCCAGGACTACCACCATGCCTGGCTGTAAGTCCTTTTTTGGATTTTAGAAGAGATGGGATTTCACCATGTTGGCCAGACAGGTATTGAAATCCTGACCTCAGGTGATCCACCCACCTCGGGCTCCCAAAGTGCTGGGATTACAGGCGTGAGCCCCTGTGCCTGGGCTTCCTTCCAAGTTCTAAAGGTGCATGCTGATCAAATTAGTGTTCTGCCTTCTTTATGAGTATCAAAAGATATATGACTTCAATTGAAAAAAAAATATATATATATATATATATATTTTTCCCCTTTACTGTGTCCTTTTATTGTAATATATAGATTTTGATACATAGTATTTCTATAATTGTTCTAAGAGTGTTAAAATTTGGGTTGTAATTTCTCCTTTCACCTGTGAGTTGCTTAGAAGTTTGTTATTAAGTTTCCAAACATAAGAGTTTGTATAATACTACTGTACTTTGTGTGAATTTTTGCCCTTGTGAAGAGGCAAAATAAAAAAATTACAAGGAGTGGAAATTTGATTTGTTTGTATTTCATGGCATCATTAGGACTTGAAAGTTTTCATAGTGCGATTTTATTTCAGGTTAATTTCAGTTTCACATTAATGTTTTAAATACTTATTTAAAACATGCTTGAAGACTGACGTAAAAATTCCTACATAAAAATTCTAAGAGGAAATAAGAACCCCAGCACCCTATTGTGAGGTTAGAAGAATAAGAAAGGGAGTCTAGACTAATTTTAAACAGGAAGAGGAGAATTTCACTGTGTTGGGGAAATACAGTAAAGATAAAACTCCCCTTTTTTTGGTTTCCTTCTAATTCATACTGAGTGATCATATATATGCAGGAACTTGGTTCTCAGTAATGAGTAACATATAGGGAAAGATGCAAATCCATGCAGACTCCTTGCTCAGAGGCATAGTTAGTGAAATACCTCAGTGGTTCTGCTGTCTGACTTGTTTCTGCTTCTGCTTGCTTTTATAGGTAGAAGAAGTGAAAAAGCACCAGCACTGTTTAGCATTTAGCTCCTCTGGACCCCAAAGCCAGACTTACTACATTTGCTTTGATACTTTCACAGAATACTTAAGGTGGCTGCGACAAGTCTCCAAGGTAAGAAGCAAGCACTTAACCCAGGAATCGGCTCAGCTTCTAGTTGGCTGCAAAGTTCCTTTCTGCTTTAGCCAGGTCTAAAATATAGGTAGTTACACACACTTTTTTTCCCCCCAGATACTGCCAGTGATTAGCAATTTTTACTTTTTTAAAAACTAATTTTGCCTGAAAAGTAGCTTTTTAAAAATTATGTTTTACTCGCTTAGTTTTGTTCACACTTAAAAATAATTTGGTCTGTAGACTGGCATTATTATCTTAATGTTGTAGATAAAAAACATGAGACTGAGAATATCTGAGGGACTGACCCAGTCTGCAATAACTGTAAAACCACAAAATACCCAGAGAACTGTTACAAATTTCCCTTCTTTCTGTGATTGTTTTTTCATATAAATAGTCTAATGTTATACCATCTCCCTTTCACCTTTATTCACCTTTTCAGTAGTTTAATTTTTTTTATCTTATTTTGGCCATTTTATATTCCTCTGATTTAATAAGATCACTGTGTCCTATGAAATACTCTTGGCCAGGCACGGTGGCTCACTCCTGTAATCCCAGCACTTTGGGAGACCAAGGCAGGCAGATCACTTGAGTTCAGGGCGTTTGAGACCAGCCTGGCCAAAATGGTGAAACCCCATCTCAACTAAAAAAACAAAAAAATTTACAAAAAATTAGCCGAGCATGGTGGCATGTGCCTGTAGACCCAGATACTTGGGAGGCTGAGGCATGAGAATCACTGGAACCGGGGAAGGTGGAGGTTGCAGTGAGCTGAGATTGCACCACTGCACTCCAGCCTGGGCATCAGAAAGAGACTTGGATTGGGGGAG